ATGATAATGTCCTACTGTCAATCAAAGACCTGTGGTTCAAAATCAACAGAGACACCAATGGGTAGAAGGCCACTGCCTTCCGCTCGGATTGAGAAGCTGCTAAAACTCAGTATGCCAGTCTACTCTGTGCTAAAAGGGTTGTGGAAGAATTGAACTCCAGCCCACTGCCATGCACTCACTACAGAGCTCCACCTATTCAGAGAGAGTTTCTTCCTTTCCTGCACTCCTTTCTGGATTCCACAGCAGCCCAAGCCAAGGGAGGATCCTAATCCATTTCCCAGTAAGATTATCATACTCGCTCAGTCATTGCCAAAAACTACCTGTGTTGGTATTCAATTGCCTCTGTAGGACCCATGATTTTTTTTTCCTCCTCCATCCCTCCACCGACCTCTTTTGTATTTCTAATGAGTCCTCTCTGTCTCTGTCTCTGTCAGCTAGGTGGATTAGTTTAGTTTTCCAGCTCTTAATCTGCTCTTTTTCTCTGCCTTCACTAAATCTGATACTTTATCTTCTTAGTTTCTCATAACTCCAGTATCATCATTTCTATCTGCTTTACCTAGTTATTCAGGGATTAAGTTGGCAGAGGGATTAAACATGTGGGTTACAAGTATGACGCCATCTTACACTCAACACTCAAAACTTTTAAAAGAGAAGGAAATACTCTCTTATTCCCACAGCTTAGTGATATAATTGGTATTAAACTGAAACCAAAATCACTACCACTGAGTTGATTACTACTCATAGTGACCCCAATTGGATTTCCAAGGCTGTAAATATCTACAGAAATAGATAGCCTCATCTTCCTTCTACAAAGTGGCTGGTAGGTTTGAACCACTGAACTGGTTAGCCACCAAACACCTTATCTGCTACACTGCCAGAGCTCCTTATAATTGTTAGTGCTTAAATGAAAATATTATAAATTATTATATGATAAAGCAAAGAAATGATTATGTTGACATCACAATAGCAAGATTCCTAGTTTATGAGAAAGAAGATACAAAGACAAAGTCAAAGAGGTTAAAAAAAAATTAATCTTCTAATCCTAAATTTGAATTGGAAATATTAGTACAAACTCATAGTAGTTTTTTTCTTAAAAAATTGTTTCCTACATCTGCACTTGAAAAGGCAATGAGAAATCTAGAAACAATAAGTACTTGTAGAGTCCAACTTATAGTCTCCAAATAAAACAGCTCATATTTAAAGAACAATAAAAGTCCAGGTATGTCAAAGAAAATGTACAAGCTGAGCATGGACATCCTATCATATGAGAAAGCATTATCAAATATTACTAAGGCCCTATGGAAAGGATTCAGATGACAATTTGAAAAGGCTTTCTTTGGCTGAAGAACAACAAAAAGAATAATAAACACAACAATTGGTCTCTATTCATGTGGAGCAAGAGAAGAAGGAGGAGAATCAGGGACAGGAGGAGAAAATGAAATGTGTAGCTAATTGCCTCCATGAACAACTACCTCTTTTGCCATGAGACCAGAAGAACAAGATAGTGCTCAACTACTATGACTGAACATTTTGACTCAAGATTCCACAGAACAATTTTGATCAAAAGACGGAAAATGCAGAACAGAATTTCAAATTACCTTGGAATCTAGATTTTCTAGAACCATGGAGGCCAAGAAGAACCCCTGAAACTACTGCCTTGAGATAATCTTTAAACCTTAAATCAAAAATATCCCCTGAAATCTTAAAACCAAATAAGTTTATCTTAACTGGTAAAGAATGTTTATGCACAGCTTCCTCATGAGCACACTTTAAGTGTTCTGGAATTCCCATTCTTCACAATGTTATCCATAATTTTTTATGGTCCACACAGTTGAATGCCTTTGCATAGTCAATAAAATACAGATAAACATCTTTCTGGTATTCTTTGCTTTAGGTTAAGATTCATCTGACAGCAACAATATACCTTGTTCCATATCTTCTTCTGAATCCAGCTTGCCTTTCTGGAAGTTCCCTGTCATACACTGCTGCAACTGTTTTTGAATTATTCTCAGCAAAATTTTACTTGTATATGATATTAGTGATAACCGAAAAAACCAAAACCAAACTCACTGCCATTGAGTCGAATCCGACTCATAGCGACCCCTCCTTGGGTTTCTGAGGCAGTATCACTATGGAAGTAGATTGCCCATCTTCCTTCTGAGGAGTGGCTGGTGGGCTTGAACACCAGCCTTCTGGTTAGCAGTCAAAATCCCTTAGGCACTATGCTACCAGAGCTCCTATATTAGTGATATTTTTTGAAAATTTCCACATTTTGTTGTATCACCTTTCTTTGAATGGGCAGAAATATGGATCTCTTCCAATTAGTTGGCCAAATTTCCTGACACAGACAAGTAAGTACCTCCAGAGCTACATCCGTCTGTTGAAACTAAGCTGCACTTAACCCAAGCCATGGTATTTTCAATCACCTCACATGCATGTGAAAAGTGGACAATGAATACGGAAGACTGAAGAAGGATTGATGCCTTTGGATTGTGGTGTTGGAAGAACACTGACAACACCTTGGACTGCCAGAATAATGAACAAATCTACCCTGGAAGAGATGCAGCCAGAATGCTCCTTGGAAGTGAGACTGGCCAGACTTCATCTCACCTACTTTGGACATGTGGTCAGAAGGAACCAGTCCCTGGAGAAACAAAGCATACTTGGTAAAGAGCATGGTCAGAGAAAAAGGGGAAGACCCTCAATAAGATGGATTGATACAGTGGCTGCAAAGATGGGCTCAAGCATTGCAAGGACTGTGAAGATGGTGCAGAACTAGTCAATGTTTCTTTCTGTTGTATATAGGGTCACTATGAGATGGGATTGACTTGATGGCACCTAGCTACAACAACAGTAAAGACTGTCTATCTTGAGCATTAAGTTTTTCTAAGATCTATGCATATCGACAGTACATAACAACAACAATCCATATGGGGTCAAATTGAAAACAGCAACTTGAAAGACTAGATAGGTGGTCTAGGAAGGCAATGAGTTTACGTTAATGGGGCACAAAGAATTCAGAAAAGAAGGGTGCGAATGGTTGCATAACTCAAAGAATGTAATCAATGCCACTAAATTGTATATGTAGAAACTGTTGAATTGGTATATATATGTTTTCCTCAACAGCAATATAAACAAAACAAATAAAATTTTAAAACAGTAATAACTGAAATGCATTGAAACATATTAGATATATTTAAACTCATTTGTTCACAAACAGTAATTTTCAGAAAAGTCAAGTTTGGAGGATACTAGGGAAATAACTCATTAATCTGAATATCGGTAAATAAAGGGAAAGAGTTAAGCATTTATCCTGTCTTTCATATATAACTGTACCTTTGGGTAAACAAATAGTTGATAAGGGCAAGTTCTTCTTTAAGATAATTTTAGTTAATGACTCAAGTCATGGTGTTTTCAATAGTCACATATGCACGCTAAAGCTGGACAATGAATAAGGAAGAGAGAAGAAGTACTAATTCATTTGAATTATGGTGTTGGTGAAGTATACCGAATATACCATGGACTGCCAGAAGAACAGGGAACCCTGGTGGTGCAGTAGTTAAAGCCCTGGGATGCTCACTGGAAGGTCCGTAGTTGGAACCCACCAGCTACTCTGTGGGAGAAAAATGTGCCAGTCAGCTTCTGTAATGCTTTAAAGCCTTGTAAACCTTATGGGGCATTCTACTCTGTCCTACAGGGTCACTATGTGTTGGAATTGACTCTATGGCAACAGGGGTTTTTTGTTTTGTTTTTTTGTAGGTGAGGGCAAAGGAATGAACAAATCTATTTTAGAAGAAGTACAGCCAGAACGCTCCTTAGATGTGAGGAAGGTAAGACTTCATCTTATGTACTTTGGACATGTTATCAGGAGGGATCAGTCCTTGGAGAAGGACATCATGCCTGGTAAAGTAGAGGGTCAGCAAAAAAGGGAAGACTCTCAGTGAGATGGATTGACACAGCAGCTACACATTGTTCTCAAGCAGAGCAACAACTGTAAGGATGGCACAGGACCAGGCGGCATTTCACTGTGACATACCCAGGCAGCTAGGAGCCAGAAGCTACTCAGTGACTCCTAAGAAGACCAAAAGATGCAGATGAATAACAGAGTATCAACAGTTTTCAGCCCCTAATGAAATTATGAATCTACACAATGATCATCAGTAGCTACTAAGAAAGACCATTAAGTAAAAAGCTGATAGTAAGCATTATAATGGATTGGTCAGTATGATAACACTTGATCCCACTAGTCCCACTGATGGTAGAATTTTCATGTCATAAAAAGAGAAACAATCAGATATTTTGTGTCTTATGATGAAAGTATACACTACCACCTAGAAAATAATCTTGCCAAAAATTGAACTTAAATCTATTTGAGCCCTTAGATTTAACTACCTATATAATAAACATTCGAGGAACAGAGAAACATGTCAACAACATTACAGGAATGCGTTTATCAAAATGTAGAAAGTAGAAATGTTTATAGGGCAAACAACCCAATTCCTTCAACAATAAAATGCAAGGGGGAGAAAAAAAAACGAATGTGAAGAAACCTGCAGTTTAAAAGAGACATGAAAGATGTATCAATCCAAAGCAATGTACAGATCTTGTTCAGATCCTGATTCAAACAAATCAACTGAGACATCAGAGAAATGTAAATTTACACAGGATATGAGTTAAAAAAAAAACTATGCTAATTATTTCTAATTGTGATGATATTCTTGGATTTTTTATTTTCAGAAAAAAAGGAGTCTGTATTTTAGAAGTATATTCTGAAGTATTTACAGTTATAATAATGATGTATGGGGTGTGCTTCAAATCTAATAGGCTGAGGAAGATGTGGGTGAGTGTAGAAATAAAACAAAATTGGCTTTTTGTTGATAATTATTAAAATTACTTGAATGTTTATGAAGTTAATATTAAATATATTATTTAGTAATTTTAATATTAAAATTATTAAAATATATCATTTATATTTTTCAATTCTTGAAAGATAATCTTACCTGAAGATTTGTGATTGTCTACATTTAATTTTTAACTCGCATTGCAAATGACTCAATTCTTCCTGTACTTTTTTAAATTCATCTTGTTGACTTTTTAGCTGCATGCTTACATCCTGAGTTCTAAAAATATAAACAGCCATTAAAAGCCTCATGTGCACTCATTTTTAACTTAAATATTTTTTAATACATAGAGTAACAAAACTAAGCATCTTTACATATGCTATATCAATGTACAGAAAAAGTAAAGAAGGACTCCAAACAGCCATTATTTCTGGGGAGGAGAGTGGAATTAATGGGTGGGTTTATCTCCTTTTGTTGGAACAAACACTCTAGGAGCTTTTAGTGTATAGTAAAAAAGGGAGGCATAACTTTTGACTCTATAATCTTTTGTATTTTTTGAACTTATAATGAGCAATTATTCTTACTTGAAGTATTAGTTAAAAGTAACTAAACTAATTTAACTTTTTATGGAAGCAATAGATATACATAATTTAAAATGTCCAATATTACTAAACGGGCTATAAGAAAAAGTAGTAATCATTTGCCATTACCCTAATTCTCACTACCAAAGGCAACTATGTTCAATAACTTTTATTTTCACTTGCTGCTTCTGAAATTTAGTTACATACTACTAAATAACATACTTATACTATTTCTTAGTATTTCATTTTAGTTATTATCTCGTGTGTTTCAAGTAAGTTAAAATCTGCTTCTGCTATGGACAACTGAGACTTGAATATGATGGCTTAACTACACAGGGGGACATTCTTTCACATAAAACAAATGCCCTGGTGGCCAGTCCAGTGTTCTTATGATGGCTTTATAATATTATCAGGGCCCCTGGATCCTCCCAACTCTTTGGTCTGTCATATTTGATAAGTGTCCTTTTTCTCATGGTCCATGATGGTAGGGGAAGCTCCATCATTATGCTCCCATTCTAGATCAGCAACAAGAGGAGAATAGTGGCCCACTTAGTCACATTTAAGGAGATTTCCTGGAATAAACAAAAACTCCAAACTCACTGTCGTCAACCTGGATCCAGCTCACAGAAACCCTCTTTGGGTTTCTGAAGCAGGATCACTACGGAAGTAGATTGCCCAACTTTCCTTTCAAGGAGTGGCTGGTGTGTTTGAACCGCTAGCCTTCTGGTTAGCAGTCAAGTGCCTTAGGCACTACACCACCAGAGCTCCTGGCCAGTAAATTCATGAAAATCTGCTCACCATTAGTCATCAGGAAAATGTAAATCTAAACACAGAAGGTATCATCTCAAACCCACTAAGTATATGCATACTTAGATATGCATCTTATCTGAGTAATAGAACATTACTCAGCCATAAAGAGAAATGAGGCTCTGATACATGCTATGACATGGATTAGCCTTAAAAATTTTATGCTCAGTGACTTGAATCAGACACAAAAAGGCAAATATTATATAATCCCACTTATACAAAATTATCTAGACTATGCAGAGATGCACAGAAGCTAAAGCAGTACTAAGAGTACTAAAAGAGGTTAGTAGTTGCCAGGGGCAGGAGGGAATGAGGAGTTATTGCTTAATGGTTACTGAGCTTCTGTTTGAGGTGATAAAAACTTTTGGAAATAGATAGCACTTATGATTACACAACATTGTGAATATAATAAATGTCACTGAATTGTACAGTTAAAATGGTTATAATGGCAACTCATGTTTTACTACAATAAAATTTTAAAAAATCAAGCTAACTTCTTGAGAGAGGACTAAGACTGGGAAGGCTAATAAAGGGGGACTTTAGCTTTTCCTATAATATTTATATTGTTCATAATGAAGACATATTTGTATTTTGATAAAACTAAAATGAGAATTAAATGAACAATAAAATCTTGGCAGTCTCAACATAAGTATGTGAGTATGTAAGGTTAATCTATGGGGGGGAATGCAGGAATAATAGAAGGAAATTTGAACTTACATATTATACTGCTTAATGATAAGAATAGGAGCTCTGGTAGCATAGTGCATAAGGCACTTGACTGCTAACCAGAAGGCTGGTGGTTCAAATCCA